AACAGACCTGCATCTAGCTGAAGTGTTTCCATTAATTTTTGCATTATTGCCAATTTCCCTGTTTTACAAACCAAATGTAGCATCTGTTCCAGTCGCTCAATATGGTCATGAACTAGATTTGAATCAGAGACTCCTAGGGCTGGAGGAGACCTCAGGAGGTCATCGAGTCCAGCCCCCTGCCCAAAGCAGGACCAATCCCAACTAAATCAACCCAGCCAGGGCTTTGTCAAGCCAGCACTTAAAAACCTCTAGGGATGGAGATTCCACCTCCTCCCTAGGGAACCCATCCCAGTGCTTCACCACTTTGTGGTGATTTAAATCCTTCCTTTCATTGTACACGGAGCTGTAATTTACAGGGCTCCTGGTGATCAGCTTCCATCGTCATCGCTAGCAGCCGCTTCCTCTTCTGCTCAACCTGAATCTCATGAAAGACTCAAGGTCCGTAGCAGTTTCCGGCCTCTCAGAGTGTCTTTGGCCTCCTTTTGCTCATCTTAATTTGCAAGTCCAGCTGAGCCGCTGTAAACTGGTTCATTGCCAGTCTATCCTGGAAGGCCCTGACAGGCAAGGAATACAGGTTCCCTACCCAGTTTAGATGGGATTTCTTCTTACCCTCTCCTTCTAGCTCTGTCGTTGCACCATGGCTCGCTTAAATTAATGGCTAGCTCCAAACCACATATGAAAGGCTTATAGGTCTGGATAATTTCATTTATTTTCAGGGCCTAAATTCTGCAGCCCCCAGCAGAGGTGGGGGGCACCCAAGTTACCTGTTTGTAATTCCGCTTTCCATTTCTCTTCCAGCCATTCAGAGATTTTCCCTTTTACATTATTTGAGCTGGGAGTCCATTTGCACAGCAGTGTAAGGCCAGCGTTCAAACTCAGGTGCAAACCTAACCCCCCTTTAGCCTACATACCAATAGGGCTTGGACACAGCGTCTCAGGAGCCCCATGGGGTGGAAGGTCCAAGTCTGAGTCAAGTCAGGATCCAGGGTTCAAGCTTTCCAGTGTAGATGCAACCCCACTGGACTCCTGCTTTGGGAGTCTGACAAAGTATCATATCCCACAATTCCACAGGCTGACTTTCTTTGTCCTCTGGACAGTCGAGTCGGGTGGACAGTCAGGTGTTCTCACCCTGCGCTTCAAACAAAAGGCTAAACAGCCAACTTTTGGAAGGGTGCTAGAAGGTCTGGTTGAACTCCTAGCATAATGCAGCATAGACACTGGAGTCCCAGGTTGGACTTAACGTTCAGTAGTTCCTAAAGCTGGAGTTACAAATAAGCGTAGACACTCAAACCCTAAGTCTGTGGTGTCCAACACAGTAGACACGTGGGCTGTTTGGCCGGTTGAGTGTGGCTAGTTGGCTTGAACAATGTGGCTATTTGGCCAGTTGAGTGTGACTAGTTCGCTTCAGAACTGGTTGGACACCACAGCCCTAGATCCAGCCACCGCTCGCCCTGGGTTTCTATGAACTCCAAGAAAGGTAGAAATCTGCTGTAAATGTCTGTTCTTACCCAGGTCTTCTGCTGGCTCAGTTCCCCATCTAGGTGTTCTGTGTTCCCCTATCATCAGTGTCCCTTTGATGTCCTCGTGTGGCTGAGTTTTTAGTTCTGTAAGTCCTTGCTGTAGCTCCGTGATGGGCAACTTAGACTAGTGACGTGGGCCACCCTCCTTCACCTCAGTGGGCTGCAAGATTGTCATAACCGAGGCGGTCTCCCAGGAGAGGCTAGTTTTGCTGACTGTGCTTGTGTACCTAGAACTTGCAGTGGCGCTTTGAATGCAGAAGGAGCACGCGGCTCTCACAGTCACTGTTGTGTGCAATTAGCACACACCACACTTCATATGTCTTTGCTTTAAGACAGGGTCACTGTAATAATATCGGTAGAAAAAAACTGTGCAGATGGAAACCAGAGGAATCGTAGGCTACGATAGACAAAATGTCTCGTGGCCACACGTAGAACCCTGATGGGCTGCGTGCGGTCCTCAGGCTTCAGGTTGCCTACCACTGCTGTAGCTTTTCTAGGTTGGCAAAGGGGGCAGTTTTCTGGGGCCCAGCAATTCAGAGGGGTCCAGGGCTCCTGACCACCGATGCTGCTACTGTGGCAGTGGCCAGAGCTCCACGGAGTGCCACGCCACATGTTCCAGGCAGCTCTGAGGGCTGGGGCAAGGGAGTGTGTCAGGTTCTTGGCAGCACTAAGGACTGGCTGCCACCTGGCCTCAACCCATCCTCCCGAGGCCCCAGCCCTTCTGGGAGTGCAGAACTGGCCTACCTCCCTTACCCAGGGGCCTGCAGAGGCGGTCAGCACCCCTGTTCCTGACTGAGGGTGTATCTATACTGCTATCATGAGGTATGGACTGAAGCTTGAGCAGATATATCTAGAGCCTTGTGCAGGTACAAAATTTGTGTCCGCATCTGAAGCCACAAAAGTGAATGGCAGATACCTGCGGATATAAAATGGATATCCGTGGAATGGCAGGGCTCTAGATATACCCAAACTAGCATTAATCCTGCTAGCTCTGGGGCCAGACTAGTGAAGCCAACAGCAGGCACTGTACAAGCCCACATGGGTCACTGGGTAATTGCTTGGATGGCTAGCCCATTTTGTCAGGGCTTCCCTTTCGAGTTAAAGCTATCTTAGGTATGTCTGCTGGAGCTAAAATCACACTCCATGAGAGCAGTCTGGATATTCCCCTTGGACACTGACGTTCGAACAGACCATCAGGGTGCACTTTCGTTGCAGGACAAAGCTGGGGCTGTGTGGCTGTGCTATTTTGGTTTCGTGAGCCATTCTCTGCCCCTTGCTAATTGTTTGTTTTGTTAAAAGCCGCTTCTCAGGTTGCCCCTGCCAACCTTCTAGGATAATCTGATGCTGCCTATTCCCTGTAGCAGACTAGTCACTATGGAGGCATACTAAAATAGCTTGGGGGGAAGGGGGGATGCTTTTGGAAGTTGTAACTTGAAACCATGCAAAACTCAGAAGGGTTTGGGTCTTGTCAGGAACACACGCTGTGCTAATTGAAAAGTTATGAGGGGTCATGAGCTTGTCTAGCAAAGCTGAGCAGATGGACAGCTTTGTATTCCCTGTGCCAGTGAACTCTGCAGTTGTGTGCGGTTCTGACTAGAAATGGATGCACCAGAGCTTTGACGGGGCTCAGAACCCAAACTCAGATCTGCCTCTAAATTTCCATACCTGGGTAAAAAGTTTTCTATCAATTAAAGCATTCAGACAACAGTCGCTGTTTTAAAACTTCAACAGTCAGCCTCCACAAAGCAAAAATATTACTGTGAAATTCATTTTCTTTGCTTTGTTATTGCTGTTAGCTGATGCTATATTGAGACTATACAGGGCTTAAAGAAGCTTCCTCTCCTACTAGTCTGAGGATAAAGTCAGTGAAGATGAAAAATACCTATTTCCCAGTGTCAAGGCAATCTAAGTTACAAGTAAATGATCAATAGTGTACTGTACAATGTCTTTTACATTTCACTGCAATGCACAACAAAAACAAACAATTGTTAATATTTTAAAGCAAGACAGCCTGGTAAGGGTTCATAGCTGAACTTTCTTACTTGTAAACTCAGGTGATACACAAAACATCTGCAGTGGCTCCAGTGAATTTGATCCTACTAGCTCAACTGACTTGTGGTCTTCTTTGTGCTGCACATTCTAAGTGAAGGCAGAATTACTTCTCCAGGGAAAACCTCACTGCATAACAAATATAGTAACTCCTCCAAAAGTGAGAAGCCTTCCAAGTAATTTTAGCTAGGTTACATTACACACATCTCACAGCATATCTCAATGCTTCTTTGAACAGGGAGTGTAAAGCCTCTTTTCCACTCAAGGGAGACAACTTTGAAAACTCCATTTCAGAATAGATTTCCAGTGTCTCAAAGAGATTAGCGCTCTATCAGCTTTGAATCTGTGCCAATCCAATTAGAGAATTGTGTACGGTGACTATGTCACTATTCAAAAGAGGTTACAAAGAGGAAACTTTCATTGTCACAGTGGAAGGGGGAAGGTTGTAGGTTCTGGAAAATGAAACACAGGTGACTGCCCTAAAAATTAAATGAGGCTCATTTTGCTTCTTACATAATTGAGTGTAAGCTAGACAGAAGGATTTAAATGTAACCCATCGTTATCCATACCTCACTTCAATGTTCCCTCTAATCTTTTCCATCCAGGTGTGGATTTCTTCCATCTATGTGCAGAATAATTTTTTATGTGCACTGAGACATGTGTGAATATGTACCACCAATAGAAATAAAAATCCTAGCTGGGGGTGATCTGTTAATCATCTGGGAGGCATTTGAATTTCTCCTGAGTGTCTGCACAAGTGTATAGCTGACAAGGAACACTGCTCGCTGGTAGTCACCACACCTCCCCTGAATTTATTTCTGTCACTGTATTGTGTACTGAAGCATCTTGAGTCTGATATAAAATGATAAAATGGAGAACATTTAAAATGAAGGAAGTTTGGTTTTAATTTTTTCAGCATCAATTAGCAAATCTCATTTGCGACTGGAAATGAAAAAACCTACCTATTGTATTTTTCAAACTTGTATACTAATATTTTTATTCCTCCTAGTTCCCACAAAGGAAATCCACCGCAGGTCGAGTAGTGCATATCTGCAATCTCCCCGAAGGAAGCTGCACTGAGAACGATGTCATTAATCTTGGACTTCCCTTTGGGAAAGTCACTAATTATATCCTCATGAAATCTACTAATCAGGTATTTTGACTTTTGTGCCATTAATTGAGATTTATTCAGTGGTGAAAGTAACTTAACATTTCTTACAGGTACTGTCCTATTGCAACCCAGGTATTTGCCAGCTCTTTAAATAGCTCCCTGCTGGCTTTTACCATAGCTTAACCAGCTCTTGCCAGAGCTGTGCACAAGGCGCACCCACTTACTTTCACCTGTGGATGTATTAATTTTTGTGTGGATGTTTCTTCATAATGGAAACTTGAATACGAAAAGTGTGCTCTTAAGGTTAAAAGGGGTGTTTTGAAATTGATCATGGTCACAGATGTGGCTGTAACCAATGTCAGCTTTTATTGCTAGCGAACTGGTAAAAAGAGTGAAAAAGTGAAATCTTTATGCAAACATATTTCTTTATAATTTCAAAAAATTTGAATAATCTTGACTTGCCCCAGTTACTCTTAGTAGCCAGCTCTGTATTTTCAGAGTGCTGTTTCTTTTTTTCTACTCATCCCTGACAAACTGAGTTAGCCATGAGAAGAATGAGTTGTGCTCTATTCTGCTTTTATCTACCATCCACTGCTAGTTAAGCTCTGGTCACAGAATCTTCATTATTGGTGACGTGCAAAGGGCAGTCTGGATTTTTAGATCACCGGGTGAGCTCACCATGCTGGCAGTCAGCAAAATTGTATGTTGTATTTAAATTGTAAACTAGTCAAAATTATATGGAAATAAATCACTG